CAGCTAAAGGAATGTGCTAATGATAGCTTGTGAAATTCTCTATCTATGGGAAAGCCAATTTTTCATTTATTGATTTATTTCCACACACCTACTTGCAACAAGTATTTGAGATGTATTACAATAAAAACACAGGTACAACAAGGCCTCCAACAATTGATTTATGCGTTTCCTTAGAAGATAGTTCTTTAAAGTCACACTAGTTGGGTACAAGGGGTGGGAAGGATGAAACTGGCTTTCTTCATTGGAGAATATGGTGCAATCTAGCAGAGGCTCTGGAGCCAAACACAGGGGTTCAGTTCCAATATCTTCATTGATGAGCCAAGGCACTCTGGTTATCTGATCACCTTGTAGTTTAGGGTGGGTGGGGCTGCAGGAACACAAGCACGCCAAAATATAGAAAGGCACAGACTCAACAGAAGTTTGTTTCTCATTCTTCAACAGTTCAGGCAGGTATTCCCGGATGCTAGGCTGCTCCCCTCCATGTGGTGACACAGGGACCCAAACCCCTTCCCTCTTGTGGCTCATCCTCCCCCCTGGGTTCTTTGACTGTCTACATTCAGGTAGACAGGAGAAGGGAACAAGGAAAAGGCACCACTGTTCTCCATCATAATCTTCTTCCTGTGTCATTATTCATTATTAAATGAGATGATATGATAATGTACCAAGCCTATGGTTAAAGAGTTCTGTAAATGGTCTTTCCAATGTTGTTTTTTGTGTGTTTTGTGTGTGTGTGTGTGTGTGTGTGTGTGTGTGTGTGTGTGTTTCAAAATAATGACAGTAACCATCTGCTTTGTTTGCAGTTTCAAGCCACAGTTGAGGAAGGAGCCGTGGGAGTTATTGTCAACTTGACAGTTGAAGACAAGGATGACCCCACCACGGGCGCGTGGAGGGCTGCCTACACCATCATCAATGGAAACCCTGGCCAGAGCTTCGAAATCCACACCAACCCCCAGAATAACGAGGGGATGCTTTCCGTCGTCAAGGTAGGGGTGCCTCCAACTGCTCCTCCCTCCGCACCTGAGCTCTGAGGCCCACGATGGGGCTCACGGCCTCATTACACGGTGAATGTCCAGGATAAGTCAGCCCTAGTCTCTCCCTCCTGGGATTCAAAAGAAAAAGGCTCATGACTTAGGGTACTTGTGTCCTCACCTCCATAAAACCAACCTGTTTTACAGCTTCCAGAAAACTCAAACTTATGTGTAACCTTAAAAAACCCAAGCTTAATTTTTAAATGAGATTCCCCATGTGTTTAATAATGAATTATCAAAGATATGCAAAAATAGAGTAAGTGAAGGTTTTTTAAAGGTCTGTGCTCAAAATGGGAATTATTACATTTCTTTTTAATCTTTCTTAGCAGAGTCTCAGTTATTCTCTTGAAAACGAGATAATTACACCCACGGGCTAGTTCTTGGTGTGAAACCTCCTGTGCGCATTGCTGCCCAGCGTGCGGACCCTCTGGTTGCAGGTGGAACGAGGAGAAAATGTGATAATGAATGTTAAGCCCTAGGCTCCTGCCAGTGCCCTGGAAACGCTGGGTGGGAGGGTGGTGTTGGCGGCTCGGTGTCCTAAAAGGATTTTCATACACTTCTACTCTCTGGGAGCTTCTGCCAGGCCAGGACATTCATTGGGACAGTTTCTTTTCTGGTAGGCGAAGCCATTTGCCTCACAAGCAGGGAGTAATCATATTGATAGTAATTGTAGCCATGGACAGAACAAAAACATTGCTACCTACCCGCTGTGTGCCCTGGGCCAGGACACCCACCTATGTGTTCTGTGCCTCAGTTTCCTCAGCTGTAAAACGAGGGTGATAATACCACCCACCTCTCAGGCTGATGTGAGGAATTCATGAGCTAATATGTAAAAACATTCATAACAGTGGTGGGCATTAGAGCCTGTGTACGTTCCCTGAGACTGCTGTAACAAATGACCACAAACTCGGTGGCTTATAAAAACACAAATTTATCCTTAGACTTTTGAGGGCCGAACTCCAAAATCAGTTTCACGGGACTCAAGTTGCAGGGCTGGTTCCTTCTGGGGGCTCTACAGGAGAATCGATTTCCTCGTCCTTTCCAGCCTCTGCAGCTGCCTGCATTCCTTGGCTCATGGCCCCTTCCTGTATCTTCAAAGCCTGTATCTATCAGCACAGCATCTTCATATCTCTGACTGACCTGCCTGCTTCCCTCTTTTACGGCTCTTTGTGATGATACCAGGCTCACTGGGATAACCCAGGACCACCTCCCCATCTCAGGGTCCCTTTTGCCATCTAAGCACATACTCACAGGCTCGGGGAATAAGAACAGTAGACACATTTGGTGGTCATTATTCAGCTGCTATGGGACCATATAAACAACTACACCCACAAAGTTCCACAGTGCCCTTGGGTGCCAAAGCCACTGAAAATGGAAATCTTGGAGAGCTTCCAGCTTGTTCCAGAACATGAGGGCTCTGGGCTCCTATAGGCCTGCCCTTTCCGACCTCTTCCAAAATGAACCTCAAATGTTTGCCAGGAAAGAGCAGCCTCTAGGTCCTCCCAGTTCTTCTTCCCTAATAACACCGGCAACGGCAGAGTTGTTAGGAGACCCTGACACTGCCCCCGGCACCCACCACTGCGGCTTCAAAGCTGTGAAAGTCATAAAATAACACGGCCACTGCCTGTCCTCATTCACTGGCCTCATGTCTGCAAAAGCTGTCAGCAGCTTTCGAGGCCTGCACCGAAAGACAAAGCCTGGGGAAATATGCATCCCCCTCCGGGACCCTGGAGGAGCACAGTTCTCCCACGTGTGCTTGTGTTTGCCCAATGCTATGCGTCTGAAATGTTAGCCCCTAGAAGAAGCTCACCTGGAACACTAGTTAACATGCAGGCCACACCACGCAGCACCTGCTGAACCGGAACCTGAAGGAGAGGTGCCCCAGGTGACGCTGGTGTTCACAGAGCACAGCCCTGGGGATGAGGACCGCCATTGAATGAGAAGTTTCCACCTGCAGACTCCTGAGGAGGAAGTTCCATGGAGCCTGGGGTCTGCCTGGGCTTCAGGTTTTCTAGGGAGTGGACTTCCTGTACTTCAGAATCAGGACAGAGACTCCCCTCCCATCCACTGCCTGCCTCATGAATCCCTACCCAGGCCTCGAGCTCCCCCTGCCTCTCAGCACACCTGGTCAGAGCCCAGGACAGCCCTCGAGAGCCGTGGTTCCCAACCTTTCGTTGGCCATGCCCCACCTAAGCATCTCTAAAATCCTGATGCCCCGCTGTGACATGTAATTCTTATTATTCAAAAAGTGAACTCCTATTCACGTAGAGCATTGGTTCTCAACCTGTGGGTCGCGACCCCTTTGGCGGTCGAATAACCCTTTCACAGAGGTCGCCTAAGACCATCCTGCATATCAGATATTTACATTACGATTCATAACAGTAGCAACATTACAGTTATGAAGTAGCAACGAAAATAATTTTATGGTTGGGTCACAACATGAGGAACTGTATTTAAAGGGCCAGAAGGTTGAGAACTACTGACCTAGAGGAAGCCTAAAAGGCCATTAACTTGGTCTAAACAAGCTTCCAAAGAACATGGCATCCATGAAAGAGAAAAATAAAAGAAAGGACAATTGAAGTACTGAGGAAGAAGTCACTAAGAAATTGTTTAAAAAATAATAATAATATGAAGTGATATGAAAAAGTAGCAAATAAAGTTTCAAAACATGTAATAGAGAACTGAAATGCATCGGTATGTCACAATATATCCTAATATATAAAGAGCTAGGGTCTGTTATGACCTAAACGTCCAGATGAACAACCGAACACCAGGCTAGGGTCCCAGCCGGCACGGCGGAAGTTAGTCCTGGGTCCCGGCCAGCAAGGCAGAAGTCGATTCTAGGTCCTCGTGGCCCATGGCGCAGCAGCAGGAGGGAGCTGTGGGCCCCGGCTGCCTGCAGCGTGGCGGCGGGAAGGAGCTTTGGGAACGGAGCCATGTTGCCATCGGACTGGCCTCTGGGTCCCTCCCCCTGCCCACAGGCTCCAGGGAATCAGAGCCATGCTGCCATCGGACTGGTATCTTGGTCCCTATCCCCGGCCCATAGGCTCCGGGGAACTGGAGCCATGCTGCGATCGGACTGGCCTCTGGGTCCCTCCACCCTGGCCCACAGGCCTCGGGAACCAGAGCCATGCTGCAACGGGACTGGACCTTACCTGAGGGATCCTGGATTGTGAGAGCGTGCAGGCTCGGCTGAGAGAACCCCCAACCCCCAAGTACATGAATTTCGTGCACTGGGACTCTAGTATTTATATACTGTATATGAGGCCCCTAGAACCATAAGAAATGCAAAATATTCACTGTTAATAACTTATTCTCCAATTGCCCCTCTTAAAAATCAAATTGCCCCCCTGTGGGCCATGTGCCCCATGTTGGGAACCACTGCTCTAGAAGCAGCCTGGCCACACCCCCACGCTCTCCACTTGCCAGCAACCAGGGATGCTTTCAGCTGTAATCACAGAACGCAGGCTGATAGTGGCTTTAGTAATACAGAAAATCTAATTGTCTCCATAACTAAACTAAGGGAGGGGCTCTAGGCAACTCAAAGTGTCAGAGAGCCAGCAGGGACAATGCAGATGTTCTGGCTTTTTCCTCGAGGACAGAAAATGGCTGCCAAAGGCCCAGGCATCACATCTTCCCTGTGCTGTGATGCAAGACAGGAAGCAAGGAAGCAACCAGGACAGAGAGAAAGGAGGGAGGGAGGGAGGGAGGGAGAGAGAGAGAGAGAGAGAGAGAGAGAGAGAGAGAGAGAGAACACGAACTAGCTCTCATGTGCCCCTATCCTCTCATTAGGAAGGTGGGTAAGGGAATAGGGATGTGGGCATGGCCATGGGGCCGCCAGCCCCAAGTAGCTCTGCCCTGACCAGCAGCAGGCAGCGCCCTGAAGAACTAGAGAAGTCTCAGGATTGTGTGGTTTGCGGGGGAGTCCTGCCTCCCCACAGGACCAACTCCGACTGGTCCTGGCAAATGAGCACTGGTTTCCTCTTTAAATCCTTCTGGTCAGAAACACCCTTAGTTGCTTTGTAAACCTACTTCAAAATGTCAGCTACTCTTTCAGCCGAATATAATCCACCCGCGTCTGAAGTCTGTTTTGTCTTTTGTCCTCAGAGGAGATGGAAGCATCAGTAAGCAGGCATCCTTGATCCCCAAGCCTGTCAGACTTAAAGTCTCGGTTGGATCACTTCCAAATCCTCCCTCTTCCAGACAACAAACCCCAGCTCCTTCACCCTTCCCATGTGGGCCAGCTCTTCCAAGCCTTTAAGTCCTCCAGGACAGCGGTCCACACCCTCTCCTGACACTTGATGAAACATTCATTGAATTGAATCTCTGTAACTTTATTGTGTTTTCAATTTGCACCCATGCCTGACACAGACCCTGCAGCAGACACAGCCTTTCAATAGGGTCAGAGGCCCAAGAAAACAAAGGGCTTCTTAACCCAGCATGACCCAGGGCGGCCTTGGAGGGGACTGGAGCGAGACCCAGTGGTTTGCCAGCTCCGGGTGGGCAGGCCACAGGCATCACACAATAGGAACTATTGCCTCCACGTTATACAAATGGAAGTGAACACAAGAGAGGTTTCGCTCTCCATAAAGCCAGGCGGTCACTGCGTGGCTCACTCTCTCTGCTCCCCTCTCTCGGTACCATGGTTCACATCTCGGTTACTCTGCAGCCAGCATTCTGCTTAGGGAATGAGGGCCTGGGAATACCCATGAAAAGCCAGGCGGGAGGGCAGTGGCTGTCCAGCTGTTTCAGTTCCACACTCTTCTTTCTCACCATCTTAACAGCTTGTTATTACATCAGACTCTAGACCTAATCTCTGTGTGAAATGTCTGACATGTGTCATCTGCACCCATCTTTACAGCAGTGCTTTGCACTGGGACTTCATTGATGGGAGAGCTGAGACTCCGGGAGGTGCAGTGACGTGTCTGTGGTCCCATAAGTCCTATAGTTATTAACATCAGGGCCAGGACTTGACCCTGGCCCTCTTGTAGTTGGGAGTGAAGATGGCCCTCTCACCTAAGACCATCGCTTCAGCATGAGTGACAGCCCAAGGGGGCAGAGGACTGGGTCGTGTCACATCACGTATAGAAGCACCACCTGCTAGGACAGGCGGTTTATTGTCTCATGGCTGCTCATTGGCCCTGAGCACAGGACAGGCCACCACTGTGTTATCATGGCTATGTGTCTGTTATCACTGCCCCTGCCCAGGGTATGTTCCGAGAGCCCCAAGCCATGGTGACAATTGAAAACGCCCCACATATTTTCATGCCCCCAGGTGGGAAAGGGCACAGCGGCTTAACCCCAGGTGTCTCAGCCTCTCAAATTCTTTTCCCTATACGACACCCTGGGGGAAATGCGCCCTGTGCGAGGAGACCCTCTACATGAAATGCTGTAGAGACCCCAGACCTTAGACCACACGGCGAGTGAGTGGGACACATTAAAAATGGAGCCTCGGTCTGCCTTTCCCATTGGATCTCCCTGGTGACAGACAGGGCTACCATGAATCTCATGAAGCTTAGGCTTCGGGGTCCCTCATCCTCCTGAGCCGCTGGGAGTGAGTTGCAGAGTGTTACAGGTTACAGGTGAGAAGCCTTTTAATGTCAGCGTTGCCAGTGAGTCTCCTAAAGGGATCTTAGAAGGGAGGCCCCAGATCTCTGAGGCTCGTTACATGAGTAATGTGTTGTCATTTCTTTCTCAATCTAAAAAGAATAACAATGTTGATACCTAACTTTGCATGTGTATGTTTCATATTCTTGTTCTTAAAGAGGATCCCAAATTGCATAAACCTTAGCCCACAAAACCTGGCTCTGTCCCTGAACATCTACCTTCCCTTGAGGGATGTCGTCTGCCCTTTGTGGCCCACGTGTGCACACGCACACCCACACACACACGCACATGCACACGCACATGCACACGCTCAGTCCCTCTCTCTCATTCCAGCCTCTGGACTATGAGATTTCGGCCTTTCACACCCTGCTGATCAAAGTGGAAAACGAGGACCCGCTGGTACCCGACGTGTCCTACGGCCCCAGCTCCACAGCCACCGTCCACATTACCGTCCTGGATGTCAACGAGGGCCCGGTTTTCTACCCCGACCCCATGATGGTGACCAGGCAGGAGAACATCTCCGTGGGCAGCGTGCTGCTGACGGTGAACGCCACGGACCCCGATTCCCTGCAGCATCAAACCATCAGGTGGGTGAGCGGCTCCGTAACCAGAGACGGGAGGCAGGCGCCAATTGCTTTCCTTCTCTGCTCCCAAGGGCTGGTTGTCAGGAGCAAACCACCATTAAATTAAGCTTGTTAATGATGTGGGTGAGTGGGAGGTACGTGTCATAAGAGTTGGCGGCTGAAGGCACCAGGGGACAAGGCTTGCTAAGTGGGGGCACTGCCCACCACTTGATTCCCAGCAGCGAACCAGCCCGGGAGGGGAGTGGCTTCAGGGCTCTGTTCCCAAATGACCAGAGGTGTCTGCCAGTGCCAAGCACCGTCCCCGAAGGGAGAAAGAAAGGAGCCCCCATACATGGCCCCGTGAATCTCAGACACTTGACCTACTTTATTGTTACCACAACTTTATGAGAAAGGCATTGGCTAACTCCATGTACAGATGAGGGTCTTATGAATCCAGAGAGGTTCAGTAACTTGTTCAAGGCTGCCCAGCCTAGTAGCAGAGAAATCTGGATAAAAACAGGACAATCTGCAAAGTCTGTGCTCTCCTGGGTTCTATGGACTGAACTGTCAGAGGGTGAGGGGCAGACACTGCCTGGTATTTAGAAATGGACTGTCGGGTTGGGTTTTCCACTGATGGATGGCAGGCAAAAAAAAAAGGTCTTCGAAAAGTGCTTAGAAAGAAGGAATTTTCATAACGAGATTTAATTAAATGATCATTATCCACAGTGAATCTAACGCGAGCGAAGACAAGATGCCTCATTGGCACGTTGTTTCATAGTAAACAATCGGCATGCAGGTCCAAGTGCATGCTTATCTCTGAAAGTTATTAATCTTTCTCTTCCAAAATCTAATCTTCTCATCTGAGGGACAGATAATCAAGTATTAGACACACTTTTAATAAACACGTGTCTTATTTTCCTGATTTGAAACACCTGAGAGTGCGCCACGGTCTCCACATCAGCCCCTTAACTGTGGAGCAAGCTGGCAGACAAGCAGGGAAATTATTTTTCATTCCCAAAAGGGGAGTTAGACGTTTTTGTTTTAACTTATTGGGGTGACATTGGTTAATAAAATTATATAGGTTTCAAGTGTACAATTCTGTAACACATCGTCTATCTATTGTATGGTGTGTTCCCCACCCAAAGTGGTCTCCTTCCATCACCCTTTACACCCCTTTACCCTCTTCTACCTCCCCACGCCCTTTCCCTCTTGTAATCACCATACTGTTTGTTTTTGTTTTGTTTTTTTTGCTTAATCCCTTCACCTTTTTCATCCAGTCCCCCAACCACCCCTCCCTTCTGACAGCTGTCAGTCAGTTTCCTGTATCTATGAGTCTGTTTCTATTTTGTTTGTTTATTTACTTTGTTCATTAGATTCCACATATAAGTGAAATCAGATGGTGTTTGTCTTTCTCTGACTGGCTTATTTCACTTAGCATAATACTGTCCAGGTCCATCCATGATATTGAAAAAGGTAAGATTTCCTTCTTTTTTGCGGCTGAATAGTGTTCCATTGTATAAATGTATTATAGCTTTTTTATCTATTCATCTACTGATGGGGACTTGGACTGCTTCCAAATCTTGGCTATTGTAAATAATGCTGCATAAATTGTTTCAAATTAGTGTTTTGGGGTTTCTTCATATATATTTCCAGAGGTGGAATTGCTGGGTTATAAGGCAGTTTCATTTTTTTATTTTTTTGAGGAAACTTTATACTGCTTTCCACAGGGGCTGCACCAATCTGCATTCCTGCCAACAGTGCACGGGGGTTCCCTTTTCTCCACATCTTCACCACACTTGTTGTTTGTTGATTTATTGATGGTAGCCATTCTGGCAGGTGTGAGGTGACATCTCCCGTGGGTTTTATTTTGCATTTCTCTGATGATTAGTGATGATGAGCATCTTTTCATATGTCTCTTGGACATTTGTATGTCTTCTTTGGAGAAGTATCTATTCAGATAGATTCTTTGCCCATTTTTTAATTGGATTGTTTGGGGGTTTTGGTGTTGAGTCATATAAGTTCTTTATAGATTTTGGATAATTTGGACTTCAACAATAAGAGGTGGAAAAGAGAGAAGAAGATTTTAAATGGGGTTCATATTGCTAAACCTGGGGCTCTGCCATTGCTGCATAATTGGGATGAAAGCGTTAATGTGATGGGAAAGGACAGATGCCTGTGTCTGGGAGGAGAGGTCCCACTAAGGTGGGAGAGACAGTGGGACAGGTGGGTCTGCCGGGTTGTTTAAGACCAGCTTTGGCTGACTTAGGCAAAGGGAGAACTTGGAAGCTTCCGTAGGTAGCTTATAGAACTGAAGAATACGTTTAGAACCAGGCATATCTGTGTGGCTGTGGAGGGATGAGACTACCAAAATGCAGTTCCCAGTTCCTTCCAGCAGAAGGAGACCCTTCCCAGTCAGTAGTACCAGCCCAGGGGCCGGGCCTGGATCTCACTGAACCAAACAGAATAGCAGGAGGATGGAAGTGCCTGTGGGCTAGTCCTGTACGTGAGCCCACCACGGACCCCAGCCTCTAACCATGATGGCCTGGAATGGTGGTTCCCAAAGGAATGCGATGGGAATGGATGCTAAGTCACCAGGAACCATGGAGAGCCAGTGTGACCAAGTTCAAGTTTGTGAATCCTCCCAGAATATATAGCTGGAGTGTTTCTCTGCAGCTGGTATGCCTAAGAGTTCTAGCATTTACAAATTGGTCTGGCAGAGCAGCGTCTGGACAAATCCTTTTCCAGCCTTGAAGCAAAGTAAATGTGCGTGCGTGCATGTGTGTGTGTGTGTGTGTGTGTGTGTGTGTATGCGAGTGCACGCGCCTGTGTGTATATGGGTGTGTGGGGCACATTTCTCTCTCTGGCCTGACTCTCCAGACACATTCCCTCCTGCTGGGATCCAGAGTTGCTGGAACTGACACTTTCTCTCTCAGCTTGGCACTGACTGGACCTTCCCCTCCCTTCTCTTTTTTCTCCCCCTTCCCTCTCCGCTCCCCTCCCTGTGCTGGTTCTGAGCTCATCAAAAGCAGGGATAACATCACTGACAGGTTGAGCTATTGTCACAGAACTCTTCTGGGAGAAAAGGCTCATTAATTATTTGCAGTCTTTGATCCTGTGCGCTGAGAAGCAGTGTCCCTGGGGGGCCGCGTGTGTGGAGGGTGAGCAGGGCTGCAGGGAGGGGCCAGGCTGGGACACAGTTTTCTAATAATCTGCACTGGGCTCCCCGGGATTCTCAGAAAGACAAGATGGCCTTGTGCGTGGTGTTCTTATTGTTGCTTAATTAATGATTCTTCAGGGAGCAGGCATTGAAAGAGGGAAGAAATTTACACTGAGAACTCATTGTTATCTTAAAGAGAGCTCTGAGCTTAGCTGACAAAAACACACACAAAAGATGCTGTCCCGCCATCTGCCCCTAATGGGCTGGACTCTAAGCAGTAGCACGCATGGGGCTTTGCAGTCACGCAGGTCACTGTGGCTGTCGCTGTCTGTTTGTAACTCTATGTCCACACATCCTTCTCAGTGTCTCTCTCCGTTGGTGCCTGTTTCTCTGGGTATATTCTTTGCTCTCTCTCCATTTCTTTTGTCTCCTTCTCTGTATCTCTGTCTCCCTCTGCCCTTTCTCCCTCCCTCCCTCTCTGTCTCTATTTGCATCTTCTCCTCCATGTATGTTCATCTTTCTCTCTGTCTCTTGGCTATCTGTTCTCCTCTGTCTCTGGTTCTCTCTTCCTCTCTCCTTCCCTCCTCCCAGTCCTTTCCTCTTCTTTCTGCTGCTGCCTCCTCTCCTCTACTTCTCCTCTCTCTCTTCTGTCCTCCTTCTTTCTCTTTCTGTCTCTGTCTTCGCCCTGTTCCCTATCTCTACTTATTTCTCTGTTTCTATCTCTATCTCTATCTCTATCTCTATCTCTATCTCTGTCTCTGTCTCTGTCTCTATCTCTATCTCTATCTCATTCCAAGATTTTCTGTAGCTCAGCTTCAATAACCCTTTTTATCTCAAATGACTAACCAGACACGCAGGGCTTTTTAGCACAGTTGGACATTCTCCACCTGCCCAGGCTCCTAACAGCCTGATTCTGGTCTAAAATGAGAAGCCTCTTCTCCATCCCCAGCCCCCACAAAACTTAGGAAATTACTTCTAACTAACCCCTGGTCCAGGCCCACGTCCTGTCTTTTGTGATGAAAAGCACATCTCAGGCACAACAATTCCACTGGCTGGCCCTGTTATGCACTCTTTTATCTCACCGGGGAACATGAAAATCAGCAGAAGGCGCCTTGATCTCTAAGAAGCCTGTAACTCCAAAGACAGGAGGCGTCCAGGCATCAGAGCGACTATTCTCTCTAAAAAGCCTGAGTTATTAAAACGTGTTACAAAGCCGATCATGCTGTGCTCTTAGTCAAATCAAAACGGACAGCCATGGTCTAGTGACAGATGAAATTTTTTTTTTCATAACTTGTATCTTCTTATCCTTATTATAAAGTTAATATAGTTCATGGAGGAAACTTGTGAAAAGGCAGTTAAGAATAAAAAAGATAATACAAATCTGTAATTATTCCACCCAAGGAAATGCATCCCTCTTTAACAACGTGGGTATATCTCCTTCAGTCATGTCTGAGTGCTTCTCATTTATTACCAAAATTGGCTCCCATCATCCATCCTGTTTTGGAACCTGCTATTTTTACTTCCCAGTACATGGTGGACAGCTTTCTATGTCAAGAAATAGTTATTATTTTAATCACTGAATAATATTATTCTATTACATGGATATACTCATTAATTTATTCACTCCCTTACCATTACATATTTAGTTTCAACTGTTGCAGTTATTTAAGAAAAAGGTCAATGGGCATGCTTGTAGCTTAATTGTTTAATGCATCATTAATTTTCTGAAGAATTTTCAGAAAATACTTTACTTGAGCAAAAGTATTAATATTAACACTTTTTGTTGTATAAAGAATTCTTTGTTTTTTTATACCTAGACAATCTATATAATAAAGAGCCAGGGTCGCCAGACCGGAAGTCAGTGCTG